CTCACATGAGTAACTGAGTACTCACTGAGTAACAATACTCAGAAATTGTTAGTAGTACCAATATGAGTACTCATGGACGAATTATGAGTAAAGTCGTACTCATCGTATGAGTACTTTCACTAGGGTTTGGTTTTTGCTTTGTTATGGATTTTCCTCCCTCTAGTTGTGTCACCAAACAGGCTAGCTATATGTTTCTCATAATAATTCCCTACTGTTTTTAGTATTTTTATTGTACTGGCAGTGTAGGATTATCAATGTTTTTATGTTTGTTATAATGTATTGGAAATTTTTATATATCAGTTTTTGCAAGTGCCTAAGGGCGTCGCAATAAAATGCAAAATGCAAAATATATATATGTATATATATATGAGATAAGAAAATGACAATGTGTTTATTTTGAATCATCATTAGGGATGGCACTTTGCCTTTATCGTCAATGTAACAGGTAACGGAAACCTTCTTCTTCTGGAAAAGTAATGAATAAATTATCTTGTTTGATTGAAGTAACCCGTTTATTCATTTGTTAGCCCTTTGAAAGTCACAGAAACACCGAATTAAAGGATAGATTTTTGTTAGTTTGGTGATACAAGTACATTCTAATATACAGAACTCGTGTTAACCGCACAACGTGGGATTTCAGTCCAAACATGTGTTTTGTAAAGCTCAAATATCGCGTAACTTTCTCTCTTTTTAGTATCAAGCCGAAGCAGAAAACCAAACTCTCTATCTTGTCACTTCTTGGCGATTGTTAGAAAAATGTCTGTTGACAGTATTCTGATATATTGTGTTCTTTCAAACTGGCAAAGATATTTCCTTCTTCATCGTCAGAGAAAACAGACCATTAAATAAAGAGAAAAATAAACGAACGGTAAAAGTCTCGTTCTATTGCGTTTAGGTGTCTTGTTAGATGTAAAGATTGCACATGTGAATAACTGCGAACTCTATTAGAAGTGAAAGTGCACATCTCAGATATATCTGCGATGTATTACCGTTACTTTCTGAACGGATCCCATTATCCGTTACTAGTAAGTAGTAACGGAAAACTGTTACTTTTCAGAGTAAAGTAACGGGAACGTACCACCCCTAATCATTATCATAATATCGCTTATTCCTTTGTCATATGAAGTAAGAGATAATGTGGTGGAAACTAAAGGATTTTTTCTTAAAAAAGCGGTCCTAAATACTACCAGATTACTAGGTTTTCGATTTGTTTATTAAATCAATTAGTGAATATTCGTGTTGACAACATGTTGACCTATAAGATAACAGGCGCAATTGCGCCTGTTATCTTATAAGTGATCAATGAAAGATGACTGAGTAGTGCCCGTGAATTTTAGTAGCCAAACATATGTAAAATAACTTAAAATCAAATAAAAATACCTTTTTTATTAAAACCAATTATGAACTTTGTATAGTTTCCTACTTTATCATGCGTAAAAATATTTTGGAAAAACTTATGTGACCACTGACATTCGATCAAATTTTCAATTAGTTTAAGATATGTGAGTAAAAATAATCAGAATGTATGTAACTGAATTACAATTGTCAAAAAGTGAGCTGTTTATCTATCTGCCATAGATATTGAAAATTTTATTAGTGTATCGATATATGTAGGCAAGAACTAATGCGAAAGTGAAGTTAGAACTGCGTTCTAATATCAGCTCTCCATATCGCAGAAAATATAACCAGCATTCAAGGAAGTTTGTTTAATCCATTATATTTAAATTAAATGTCGTGCTAGTGGTAGTATCTACTGCGTTGAAAGCAAATAATTTAGTTTTGTTCAATTAATTTCTTTTCTGGTTATGAAATAGTTATTTTCAAATATTGTGATAAAGTTTAAGAAAGTAGGAGGATTCTGTTGCGTTCTTCAATTTCATCTTCCTACAAGGAGAGAGGATGAAGACATTTGACTATTTTTCTATCATTGTATTGGAACATGTACTTATTAAGACACATATGGAATATTTTGAGAATTATTTATTATAGAAATACAGAAAAATTCATTTTGTTGGTCCATTCAAGTAGAAAAACTGTAAAGTTCTTGATCCATAATAATATAAACCAGTAAAAATGTTGAAGTCGATATACGCGTATTTTAATTTTACGCGCTAAAAGATTAACACAAAATTAAAGTGTTGAATTTTGTGATATTCAGTAAGTATCAAACTTACTTCGGAATTAACAACCGTCTAATAACCGGATCATTTTTGCAGCCGGCAATGAATTCCTCCTATTGATAAACTTACTCTTTCAATTGATAAATTTTATAAAAGTGAACAAATTGATTTGTACCTTTGTCAATTTTTTGTTCCCGGTAACATCAAACTGTTTGATTATTTCTGAAGCACGATGTTTTGGATCTCTCTCGCCTTTGCGCTCGGTTTCACCAACTAAATCATACATGGCAGATATCACTCTGGTCATTTCTGATTTATCAATAGAACCACTTCCGTTGATATCTAAAATCAGATAACATCCCAGGGTGAGAGTTGAGGTTTTTGTCAGTTCTGTAGTTAAAAGATACAGACATCAAAGTAATGTTTCAATACGCTACTAAAAACCTAAAATGTTTCGTATGATTCTAGACACTTCAATCTAAAAATCTGGCGCAGGTGCTTTTCTAATTCCGTAATCAGATTCATTTTTGATGCATAGAATAAGATATCTCCTTGTCCTTAAGATACTCAGGATAAGACATCAAGATTCAATCAAATACGTCGGGATGCCTTATTCAAACGGGAGACTGAAACGTGCAAAAAAGAGATGAATAAAAGTCTATTTAAGATGTACAAATAGGGTAGAAAGAATGTTAGTTTTTCTTCTTGACATATAGGCAGGTTAAGAAAAAAAGGACTCAACTATTTGCTAGTTATAGGATTTTTCACTTCATAATATATCTGAGTATATGTATGAGAACAGCGAATGGGCAAACTACCGTTTTCACCAAAATGAACACTTTCAAACCGATATTTTAGTTCACCATGGGATAAAAATGCGAGGTTAGAGTTTTGACTATTTTTGCAAGACATATAGAGCCAAAGCTCTTCATTTTAGTTCAGTTGAGACGCAGACTCTATACAGATCTGAATTTCATAAAGCAGAACACACTAAACAGAAGAAATTAAGTATAGAAGAAGTAAGAACAAATAGTCAAGGAGACAAAGCTACAGGTTTGTTTACATAAAATAACTGGAATTTCGATGTTTCACTAAGCAATAAGTATAAGACAACGAAGAAGGGAGAAACGAGCGTTACTTTGTAGGTTTGTAGTAAATAAATCTGCTTTATTCTATTGGTTCAAAAACACCGTTATTGTTTGTTTGTTTGAGAGTATGATAGTGGCTATAATGGCCGAAGAAATATTCCAGATATAGAACGCTTTTCTCTCTCCATTTCTTTTCCATTCTTTTGCTAGAGATGTCTTGAATGACTACGTAATTTATCCGCTGCTTATGGACGATAAAGAGTCTTGGCCGTAGCTGGTGTCTCGAACCTTTTTGATTTGTTAATGATGCCTATCTAAAGCACATAAGCTATTTTCTTGAAAAAGCAGCACCTTGGAGATGTTTTGTTAAGACATCAAGGCGACTAACAGTAAAAAGATGAGAAAATGCACCTTACTTGCCTCCATTCTCCACCGTGGACGCATTATGAAGCCGTCAGAGTAGTTTATCGAGACAGTTTTTTTGACAATGTTATGAAGTGAAAGTCGCAAATCGCTTGCACTACTTTTAGCTTTATGTGTTACCTTTCAAACAGAAGACGTATGGATCGTCCTTTTCTGTGTTTTGAAAAGAACGTGAAGCAAGTTTAAATGTCAGATACATACGCAGTTTTGAATTGAAGATACGCAGATGAAGTAGAAAAACTATTCTTTCAGATAAACCGTATTAGAGGTACTTTTCATATTAATAAAATTTCACTACATTTTATCCTTGATAACTAGCACGACGATGTTGGATATCTTTTATATTTTCAAAGATTTTTGAAGATAAAATAGTCAGAAAATCGCCTAAACTTATTTTTTTCGCGGATAGTTATAGTTTCTGAAAATACACATTTCAGACTAGATGATGAATAAAGCACAAAAATGGGTTTCGGTAGAAAAAGTGTCGTACTTTTAAGAGAGGACTCTTAAAAGAACGATAAGAGTTTTCTCCTAGAAGTTGTTGTGTCTTCGGCTAGAATGCAGTAGAATACATACCATACATATCGAATGCTAATGTAAGTCTTTGTTCTAAATCACCCGTCTGTGTGAGAGCAATAGCTAACATAAATTCGATGAAGTCGATTGTGCCATTATTATCACGATCGAATGTCGCAAAAGCGTATTTACAAAACTCTTTTGCCTTTCCTCCTTATAACAAGAAGAACACAGGAAGAATTTATATGAAATAATTAAGCGAGAATTACTTGTACCTGGATAGAATTGTTCATATCTTAAGATGATGATGAGCAATATTGAAAAGAAGTAATAAATTTTAAATATGTTGTTACTTTTACTTACACGCTCATAAATCGATCTTTGCTAAGTTTACCATCTGGACCTAAATAAACTTTTCATATTTCGTGATCTTTTATTTTTTATGGTTGAATTTTACTTACAGTCACGGAGAAATCCTAGAATGTAAAACAAAAGAATGTAAAAAAAAAAAAAATAATTTGACAAACTCTTTCAAAGGTGAATGTAGTGTTGTTTCGCTCAACGACAGTATACCTGCATGCCAATCTTTTATCTGTTGTTCTGTAAAACGTGTGTTTGCTCGTAGCATTGCAGTTTGTTTTGATGTTAAAACGGTTTTATCATTTTGCGACGAGGTGATTGTACCCATTTTTATTTCTTTTATTAATTGAACACAAATTATTTTCAGATTTTGAACAAAAAAATATTTAATGTTCGGAAGACTGCTCAGTAATAGAAAATAATGTTTTATTTAAATAATGTTGAACTTATATAGACGAAATTGAAATGACTCAGAAAAATCAAATAAATAATGTTTCACCTTTTAATTTTGAAAAAACAACACATATTTATCTTGATATTGAGAATAATTCTAGGACGGAATAAAGTTCGTCTATTCGATGATGATTTTGTAACAAAAACAACATTAAACAACACACAATTAGTACAATTATTCAGGGATATATTTATTTCGCTTGACACAATTTCAAGCCACGAAATCATATAGAAAACGTTACATTATTATACGCAATCATGAAAAAAATTGTGTTACCGACGCTTGCATCCAGATTAAATGTACATTTATCTAGCTTGATCCTAGTTGCAGCCAAATCAATGTAAATTTTTCATCTAACTTCAATTAAATGCAACTAGCTGTTGCCGATTAGTCGATTGATGGAACACCCGTTTCCCGCTAGAATATGATTTCAATCCGCTTAAAGTCTATAAATGTACCTTTATTCTAGATAAAAACAAATGCTAGGTATATTTTTGTAGTTCGATTCTTTCGCTTGTCTTTGTCTGAGGGTGTCTTTAATTTCATAAATTTAACACAAATCAAAGTCAAGCGATTTTAACAAATAAATGACGAATATTTTGATGTAGAATGTTCAACCTCACTGGTAGAGTTTAGAAGTTTTAGAAGGTATAGAAGAGGTCCATGATTACTGTTTCACAATCGTCGATCCTTTAAACTACACTGAGATTATCATTAATTCAATTGTTATTTTAGATTGAATAACATGTTTTTCTTTTTGACGGGAAATTGTTATCGAGTCCAGAATCATAAAACAAAAATGTTCCAGGAGATTCTGGGGAACAAAGGATATAATGTTTGCTAAGACACTAAAAGGACTTTCTGCTTAGAAACCTGAGTTGTTTTTGGCAAGCTTAACCGATTCCAACTCTGGAGTCCAACAAAATTTATTTAGTGTGGACATGTTAGATGAACAAACTGAAACATTAGAAGTACTATCAACGAAAATACTCCTGGGATTAGTGTGGAAAATAAGAAAAGAAGTGTAGCGGAAAAAGAAAGACAACGGGAAAACATTTATTATTTATTTCATTTAATTGTACGGTTTTCATTTATAAAGTAGATAACGATGTTTTCGAATAAAAAATAAAAACACTTTTCAAAAACAAACACAAAAAAATGACCTCTGACAACATCGAATCAGTTGTATAATTTTAATTGTTGTATAATATATAGATTAGGAACATTAAATTTAGCTTTATAGTTTTCTGTGAACCTAAGCTCATTAGTTCGAGTTCATCCGTATTCATAAAAAAGTGATTTTGTGTTTTTTGAATGTTTAGGTTTTAGAAAACCATATTGGATTTATTTCTCCTTAGAATATGGAAGGATAATGCTTAAATCATAGTGCGAGCAATAAAATGTGAACTGGAGACAAATTTACAATGGTCATTTTCAACATATATTTCTTCTTTAATTTAAACTCTATTCCATCTAATCCTTCTTTTTACTCATAGATTTCCAGAGTCTAGCAATCACATTCAATTTTGACTTGTAAAAGATTTTATTCTTATAGTTTGTTTCCTGCAACAAAAGACTAGCCATCTTTTCATCAATGATCGATGTTTAACAATTCATTTAGAAAAAAATAAATCAGCTCCTTCTATTTAATATCTAATAAGTGGCGTCGATACATTTCTGTAAATTCCCTCTCTGTCCCCGTGAGAAATAACACTAAATATACGTCAAAGGATAAAAGCAGAAAACAGTGCAGAATACTGATACAATAGATTGTGTATATACAAAGTTGTATAAAATGCAAAGATCCCGGTTTCTGAAAATATTTTTTTTTGTAATTTTTATCCTGAAATATAGCCATACTTTTAATGACGGTGCGGTTTCGATCCCATTAGAGTGGACTCAATATACAGTGAGCAACTGTGTGAATTTATTTTTGTTTTGTTAGATGATATATGTGAAAACAAAGTAATCCACCGTGATGAAACGACAAAACCAAAAGAAAATATCTCTGCAGCTATACCTACTTATACATAAAATATTATTCGTCATATTTTCGCACTCTATTTTGTTACTTGCACACTTTACGATAACAGAAAGGTGCTCGTATCACAAAACTAACTGTGTGGCGAAGCAAGACAGTATCTGTTTCAGTCAGTTGATAAGCCTAATTTGACATTTTATGGTCTTCATTGGTATTGATATAGAATAATATTCCACATCTTCATCAGACTAGTACCATGTACACATACATACTAGTAGTAGATAGATAGAGCGCAGTAAATATGATGAATAACAGTCTATGTATACGGACAGCTATATTATATACACAAAGAAAACAAATAACGTTACACAGTTCCTCACTTATAGCGACTACACTCTAACCACGATCTTTTCTCCATTTTTTATACGAATGCCAGTTTTTCGTGTCCTTTTCTTGTTTTATCCTGCCCATACGCGAAAATAAAGTATACAGCATCCAAAATGAGACAATAAACAGATAAAATAGCAACTTCGAAAGAGATAAAAAGTTTTTATTAATAATCCCTAGTGAAACTTCTTGTAACCAAGATCTTGACTTCTTGAATTTTTTCAGTAAGATCTTGATTCAAGACCTTGGTAAGAAAATATAAGAATTCAAGAAATTTCAAGAAGTCAAGATCTTGAATATCTTATAATTTCTTGACTTCTTGTACCAAGATCTTGGAAATTCTTGAATCATCGTTTTGTTTTACATTCTAGTGTAAATATAAGTGCGAATATTTTCACACTTAGAATAAGTTCGATTTTTTTGCTTCGTGACCATAGTTGTTTAAGGAAGAATCTATGATTCTATATCGTCGTATATCCAGTGGCTACGACTGTCATAAATAAAAACAAAATGTAAAGAAAATTTGTCATTCTTGCTCTTGCAACATCTTGAGTGGCTTCACTCAAGATCTTGAAATTTCTTAATACAAGATCTTGGCCAAGATCTTGAGTGACAGATTCAAGAATCCAAGATCTTGAAACATCTTGGCTTACGCCACCCAAGATCTTGAGTGAAAAATTCAAGAATCCAAGATCTTGACTTCTTGGTGTTTTTTCCAAGATCTTGTGACATTTCTTAACCCGAGATCTTGGCCAAGATCTTGGGTACAAGAAGTTCCACTAGGGAAGACAATTAAAAGATCATGAGACACTTTTGTATACCGTTTCACAATATTTAACAGGCAAAATAGAATTTTTATTACATATGAAATTAATTCAGAAGTGATTTTGCTGAATTGAACAGTTTTATAAAATAGAACGTTACATTCGCTTAAAACAGCATAGTGACGTCATATTGCGTTCATATTTTCAAAATGAACTTCTCAAGAGCTGTCATATCCACAAGTCAACAAAGAAATATACTATCTTGAGAAACAACCATCGTAGTAGAAAAATGCATGATAATAAATATTCAAGTATTTTACTCAATTATACTTCAAATAAGTGTTGAGCGTCGATTATAGTTGATAAAAGAATAATATAAATCAACAAAATAGTTAACTTGATCATGAAGCCAAAACGGAAGAAGAAAATTGTACTACTCAAGAAATGGTATGAAAAATGCAAAAGAGTGTTGTGAGAAGGACATTTTGTCCAATTTACCGAATTTATGGACAGAAGAGATCATTTTTGTAGAGATACTAAGTATATTTTTTAAAATAATACATATAAGTATCTCATTGCCTCATAATAATTTTATAACTAAAATTGATTAGCTCTTTTTGACTTGTATTTTCTATTTTGCATATGCTGAGTTTATTATTTCATGTGAGGTTGAGCTATTTTGTCGCATTCAATAATTATATTTTATAGTTTCGATGTTCTTGGAGAAGTCGAATAATCAGTTGTTCGATGTTGTTCTGACTTCTCGTGAAATGAACTTCTATTGTATTCTGTCTCTTAAAACATATTCAGTAGAGAATTGTGAAACAATTCTACTAATAGTAGTAATAGAGTAGGGCGTAAATTCGTCTTTTTCTTGATGTGGCATGCAGAATCTGTATGTGGGATATGTGGACATATGTGCATCTTGTCGTATGTGAGGTAAAGAATTTACGGTCGACGATAGAACTCTAATTAGAGCTCTACCGTTTAGTGCTTTTTCTTATGTGACATACAGAGCTCTGCATGCGAGAAAATGAAAAGAATATTTTTTCTATATTTCTCTCTTTTTTGATGTCTTCGATAAATCATCATTCCAAGTAGAAGTGAAAATAAAACTTCTTTCCATACAGCAATTAGTTTTACAAGCGGAGTAATTCCATTATTCTCACCTTATTTTTGAACTTTTTCCAAAACGTCTTCCACCATTGTGTAGCTGAAAGTCTCAGTAATAGAATGAAAAAAAGGAGTTAGACTTTAGCATTTGAAATGAGGGAGATCTTAGCAGTATAATACATTCTACTTTAAATACTAAATTGAAGACTGAACAATTTAAGCAAGGAAGGCATTTTATAGATTAAATATGATGGACGAAGTGATTGATGGAATTGTTCTGCAGAAAGAAATGACGTCATATAAGAAGAGCGCTCTATCTGCATCTTTTTTGTGTCTGCATGATGTTGTATCTTTTTGTCTGCATCTTTTTCTATGTCACTGGTTGCCGTTCTTGTGGGTATTCTTGCAAGATTCTTGTTTCTTGGCATTTCAGACAAGTATCTTATTAAGTAAAATATTTTACATGTATTTTTGTCACAAGAATCTTACAGGAAATCGCTTTCTTGTCAGTTCATACAAGAATCGCGAGACGGATTCTTGTCTGAATGCACAAGAAAGCGATTTCCTGCAAGATTCTTGTCTTGTAATTCTTAAAAGAATCCTGCAAATAAATAGAATGCATATATAATCCATTTTCTGTCTTCTTTTCTTTTTCTTTTCATATATATAGGAGCTGGACGCTCTGATGCCAATACAGGCACATGTAAAGACTCGATTGTCTGTTGACAAGAATCTTATGAGATTTAAAAGACTTTTTAAGACATCTATATGTATAGTATTGAGCTATTCTATGTAACTTATATATAGAAGGGGAATCGACAAAACAAATTGATGATTTTGTCGTCAACAAATCTTGCCACTTCAGACAAGAATTTTTAACGAAAAAAGATGAAAAATCAGTAAAGAGTTAAAAGAAGAATCATGTCTGATCTATCAAGACAAAATTGAGGATTCTTGTCTGAAATGACAAGAGACAAGAATCTTGCAAGAATATCCACAAGAACGTCGACCAGCGTATGGAACGGAAAGAAAAATGGCCTTTTTTTTTACCGCTTTAAGCGGTCTTTTTGCTTTTTTTTCTTTCCCTCCTGTGTATATTCTGTGTGCTGAAGAACAATTTTGACATAGCTAGACTACTACATTTATATAGACAGAAGGGAAAGAAAAAAAAAGCCAAAAGATCGTGTGTATCATCCTTTAGCTATGTATCATCCTTGTCTGTTCTGGCGCAGCTGATACAAGAAACATTTTAAATGTAAAATGTCTCTTTTTTGACCAAAGTTTTAACATTTAGTCTACATTTGTTGTAACGAGACCGAGAGCGAGACCGGGGTTCTCGTATACTCGCTCTCGTACCCAGGTATAGTCTCGTAGTCTTGTGTCTCGTACCCGGGTATAATCTCGTAGTCTCGTGTCTCGTACCCGGGTATAATCTCGTAGTCTCGTGTCTCGTACCCGGGTATAATCTCGTGTCTCGTTAGTAGTCGTATAATAGACTAAAACCTGATACTATTTTATAATCATTTATTTTAATTCAATGCTTTGTGACTAATAACCATACTTCTTGCTAGAACACATAGGTACTTTTCTGTTCACTTTTCCGGCCGGTTTGAAAATCGTTCTAGGCCTAGTGGAGATCGGCTGGTCTAAACTTTTACACCCGACCGGGCCAGCCCGGTTACAACTCTGTTTCAGAGATGAAAGTTCTAAGCAGATCATTCATCTCTGGATATAGTGACAGAATCAGAACTGACTTTACTGAAAGTGATAGTTTCAAAGATTTCAAAGCTGATTCCGATCAAAGAATTCAGCTCTAAAGCAGCACAAAAAGTTTCCTGTAAATAGCAAACATTTCTAAACTCAGAGAAAAATTTACAGCAGTAGATCGAATAACTTAGATTATCACAAACATGTAAGAACAGTGTTGCTATGAGTAAGCAGAGGTTACTATTAGTATGAAACGCGTTTGCGAAGTCCTCAGCACCATGGAATTACTTGAGTCAGTTCTGAAAGTATTGATAAGGATATTGAGTTCTGTATCAGTGAATCTTTTTTTCGAGTCTGTAGAAAATAATTTTCAGTTTTTTCGACTCTGATTCAACCCTGATAAAACAGTATCACTGATTCAGCTTTGCAGACGGAACTGATCATCGACTAATAATATATTGTCTATAGTAAGAAAAGCTAATGGATTAAGTATAAAAAGAATACTTGGCAATAGAATAAGAGAGAATTATTTCCATTAACTCTATGGATTTGCCTATTGAAAAAAGTTGATGAATCGAGACTTCTAACTATTAACTAGTCTAAGGTCCATATAGCTCAAATCTTTTTACCCTGTATTGCCATGCATTGTGAATCACCATAGAAAAATAAATAATTCTTAAGTCCTAAAGTTTCCATTCCATCGCTCTTGGGGTCACTTTATTATGTTTATAACAACAATATGACTATCAAACTCTTTGCCTTATCATAGAGAAAAATTATATAGATCAAGTCGATAGATACACTTAATACTCTTTATATACCTCAACATTGTTTAAATTTAAACTTCAAATATACCGTTGTTTGCGAGTCATACAGTTTAAATTTCTTATTGCCAACCTATACGATTGTAAAAATATTTACGTCTACTAAATCAGCCACACTCATTAGTTTTTCTCAGGCAAACTGACACACTTCTATCGGACATGAAAACTCAATAACCATACACGCACGCTGTTGATTTATTAACGAGTTTAATAACTCAGTTACGCTATGAAAAAAAACTAGATTTTCAGTTTGTATCTTCGAAAATTCTTTATCTCCAAGATTTTATTTGACGTAACTTCTTTGAATCTCTAACGTGCAAAACGAAACATTTACAAAGAGAAGTATTTCTAATGTTTTTCCTTTTCTGCCAAATGACGATGTCAACGTCGGTATTTTTAGACTATTATTTCCCTAGAAGAAGCGACGAGTACGAATAGTTTACTAATAAAAAACAATAGTCACAGCTGTGATAAGTAATTTCTACTGAATCGATTTTCGCTATGTTTCTTTAATAGTTTAAGTTAACAAGTCCAACTCGGTAGACACCAGCGACTTTTTATGCAGAATTGATGACGGTAAACAGATAATATCGAAACTGAACTGTTGAAAAATAAATCATTCAAGTTATATTTAATATGTTATAGATTATTAAATCTTAAGTCGTCCAATAAGAAAGTGAACATTGTGAAATAAAATATAACATAGGTTTCTTTATAGAATAATTTTAGAAAAGAAGAACATTTATAAGAAAAATGTGTTTAATGTTCTATTGTTTTTCAACAAGAGACGAAGAAGGTGGTTGAAAAATAAAATAATTTATTAGTTGTATTCTTCAAGATAGTTACATATTTTTTTTCTCTTCACTACAGTTACTCTATGAATCATCTAAAAAAAAAGTTAAGAATTGTCACTTTAACTACAATGTTAAAGTCTCTGCTATTTTTTCCTTCTTTATTCAGTTTTTTATCCATCTTTTTATCGTTCGTATTTTTTATAGTTTATCTTGAACTTATGTGCATATAACATCATATTGTGCATTTATTAGTGCGAAAACGAAGAAAATAAAGAACAAAAACAAAACATAGTCGAGAAGAAAATTTTTTTTATTTTTTATACTCTGTATAGTGTGCTAACATACGTAGTTCTTTTTTCGTTCGATGACTGGATAGTAGCAATATTCTAGAAAATCCTTGTTGATTCAAACAAACTAAAGAACAGAAAAAAAGAAGACTACAGCTATATAAATGCACACTGCACATTTCAAATAATTTTACAGACACATCGAATGCATCATAGTTTCTTTTGCTTTTCATTATAACTGGAAAAACCTAGAATAGTAGAAAAACAGTTAAATTTTTTTAGATAAAATATTTAATCTTGTGCCAATTTCTCATCATTATTAATTAATCACTTTATTTGTGTTTCTTAACAACAACAAAATGGGTAACGCTCACTCATCCGACAAAGTTGATCCAACAATTTTAACACCAAAACAGGTTCAGATGTTAAAAGCCAATACAAATTTTTCTGAAGAACAAATAAGAGAATGGCATGCAGGTTTGTGTTTTTGTATGTTCATATTGCAAAACAGATGTCTCTAGTTTAAACGATGAGAGAAATTACAATCCTATAATTTTCTATCTCTTATTTCAGGATTTCTCCGTGATTGTCCAAATGGAAAACTTAGCAAAGATCGTTTTGTTGATGTTTATGAACAATTTTATCCAGGGTATATTTCAAGAGGAAAAATATAGCGAAGAGAAAAGCAAAAGTGGATAAACCTACGTTTTTTTGTTTTTCATAGAGGAAAAGCAAAAGATTTTTGTAAATATGCTTTTGCAACATTCGATCGCGATAATAATGGTACAATCGACTTTACTGAATTTATGTTAGCAATAGCATTAACACAAAGTGGTGATCTCGATGAAAGACTTGCATTGGTTCGTTTCTATTTCTACATGTTTCATTTGAAAGTAGACTTTATCTTGTTATTGTCACTGATAGGCCTTTGATATGTACGATTATAAGAATACGGGTACAATCGATACAGCAGAAATGGCTAAGGTCATCTCGGCAATGTATGATTTAATCGGTGAAACAGATAGAAAAGGCGATCGTGATCCAAAACAGTAAGTTAGAAAATCTGTTTGTAAATTTTTTTTCACATTTTATTTTCCTGTTTTTTTAGTCGTGCGGAAGAAATAATTCGAATTTGTGATGTTACTGGTAATAAAAAATTAACAAAAGAAGAATTTGTTGCCGGATGTAAAAATGATCCAGTTATTCGTCGTTTATTAGTACCCAATGCATAAGTAGTCTCTTATTTGATGAATCCTGAATCTCAGATGATATTAATGACACCTGTGAAAAACGATGAACTCTTTCCTATTTCTTTTTGTATGTGTGAGCTACTAAACGCTTCTGTCTGTTAAAAACACATTATTCTTTACGTTTTCGATACTAGAAAAAAAATTACATTGTAATTTTTTTTCTCTTATGTATGGTGTGCGTACGTACTCAAGCTTCTTCGCTATTGTTATTTTTATGGTGTAATATGTCGCTTAAAAAGAGAAAACAAAACATAATTTTTAGTATTTTATTCTCTATATAATAGATATTTGCTCATTGTAATTGTAACTCATTTATTTTTTTAAATACATATTTAGAATATGTTAGTAACGTAGGTTTCAGAGGAGGGAAAAACAAGAGTTTTGGATTATTTTCTCAATGCAAATTGATATAAGCTTTATTCTGTCAGAATATGCTGTCAGTGCGCTTGTTTGTATACGGCCTGTCCACGTAACGCGTCATTCCATCACGATTTTTGTTGTTTTGCGAGTCTCTTGGCGTTCGAACAAAAGGAAACTATGGGATTGTTTACATCTAGTCTTGTAGAGAAAAGTGAGCTGAACAAAGTATGATATTTTCCGTTTTCGCAGAATATCGTGGTCGTCAAGTACAACAAAATTTTTACGAGCCCCAATCAAAAGTCCACCAAAACGGGGCTCGTAAAACTTTTGTTATATTTGAGAACCACGACACTCTGCGGAAACAGAAAATATCACATTCTGTTCAGCTCACTTTTCTCTACAAGACTGGATGTAAACGGTCCTTGAGTTTCCGTTTGTTTGAGCGCCACAAGACTCGCAAAACAACAAAAATCGTGACGGAATCACGAAAAGGCGACCGTTACGTGAACAGGCTGTATAAAGATTTTTCTGTTCTCTTTACTAGTTGACTTCAAAGAATCAACTAGGACGAACATAATCCAATAAGAACCCAGCAATTTCGTACGACGTTCAACTCTACGGTGTTTACAGTCGGTGTTGCAGTCGGATATTTTTTTAATAACTTTGGAACCAACAGAGCTAGCCAGTTGCAGTTTTCAGTTTTATAAACTAGACTTCGAGGCACATATATCTATGGAAAAATAGAGTAGTTCAATAAGGTTTACCATGATAAATCTTTCGTAGCAAAATATCCGACCTTGCCATTTTTAGAACTTGCATAGTAACCTATACTCAAAATCTGTCTGACATATAGAATAAACCTAGCTCTATTCATTGCCACAAGTGCCAACCTTCCATCTCTGATGGTCCGGGAGCTACAGGCATTCTCCGAGGATCTTTCTATCTCTGAGCTGACAAGTCTGGAAATCTAAAAAATACTTGAAACATAGGTAATCAACTGTCGTGGCAATGTTTGTTTTTGTCTCCAGATTGAAGGGAGGATTCTATTTTGAAACAGATAGTAGATATCGTTTTTCTTTAATTGTTTGCACGTTACAATAACAAATAATGTGTTTTGTCGTATCCTCGTTATAGAATACCAGTTCTCTGTTTCAGAAGACTCATATCCAAAGGCTATAAGTAAACTGCGGCTATATTTCCATGTAAACACCGTAGAGTTGAACGACGTACGAAATTGCTGAGTTCTTATTGGATTTTATCCGACTGCATTCTATTTTGAAACAGGTAGTAATAAAAGACTAAAAAGTCTGTTAGAAACAATCAGAAGGTAAAATTCTTGTATAGGGGACAAATTTTGAAATCTGTGGCTATGTGGAGACATTAAAACAGCTTGGTATAGGTCAACACTTATGCCGACACGTTAGTGATCACTCATTAAAACAAAACTTTCAACCCATTAATGTTCACTGGCGGTTTAGGCAGAGCAAATGACGCCAGTTTGCAAAAGTTTTCCTCAAGTTAAACTTGATCAGAAAATTTCATTTTTATGTCAGAAAGATAGAAAATTGTGTCTAGATTTTATGCATACGTTGTTTTAAAAATAAGCATGTCCCGTTCTTTCACAACAGTAAAAATACCCGAGCCCACAAAAATCTCAACTGCAAAATCAGAAAAATTCAAAATGTAATTTTCCCCCCTTAAGTATTTTGCAAAAATTTGGTTCATGGTCTATAAGACGCAGAATTTTTCGTAGTATATAGCTGCGTATTGTTTCTTATACGCTTATTTGTTACTGTTTTATAAAATGGAAAACAGCAAAAAGATATCTTTGACCGACTAGATGGTACTTTATTTTGGAGACTTCCCCAAAGTCCTGACTTATAAAAATTATTGTTTTTATATCAAAAGATACAAAATTTCAAGCTCTACAAGATGCACTTCTTTCTATGGGTTGTATCGCTTTGTTAAGGGATGACAGAGTTGAGATATCTTCCTTTGGAGGGAATGGCGCCAAACACAAATAATGACCCAATTGTGCTGTAGGCTGTTTTTACGGCTCTAAAACTTTGTCGAAAAATATCGTTTTGTGCTTCAACAATTATGAATTTATTGTAGTTTGTAGTACCGTGTTTGAATTGCGCGAGCAAAACTTCTATGAAGATATAAATCATTTTTTTCTAGTGAAGTGGTGAGCAGTTGAGATTTTTGAGACTTCCGATCTTTTGAGTACAGCGAAAAGACGATTAGATACTTAATCTAAACACAGCACTAGAAACTAGAGAAAATTCTGCGTCTTTTAAGCTCTGGAGTTGACATGATTATCCAAAGGATGAATTGCAAAGTGGCGTCATTTTTTCTGCCCAACCCATTATATGGTACGTGAGGTAGAGAAAAGAAACGGTAAATATAACATATGACAACTATGCGATAAGTTCGAGTTATTTTTGCTACTCCCATGAAGTTTCATGAAAAGCAAAGGCCACGTTTTGTTTAAATTAATCCAGACACTCAACTATGAATTTGGTCGAGGTTATTTTTCAAATTTTTCCTCTACATTGCATTATGGCAGATATTTCAAATTGAAAGTCCTAAAAGGATTAATAATTGAGTTAATTAAAACAATTTAAAATTTTATCCAGAATGAGAGCAAATCTTGGCAATCCGGCAATTTGTGCGTTTTTGCTGGATGCTTTGAACAAAAAACAGTTGTTATCAGACATTTTATCATTCATGAGGATGTACTTTAATATATGATATGTAATTTTGATTTACGAAGGAATATCATAGCTCAGGAGCTAAGAACCAGAACAAATAGTTTCGGAGCTTTAATCGTAGTACTATTTTATATGTTCTGGTGCTCCCTTAGCGTTTGTAGATGTTTTGCTAAGGCTGGATATACTCAAGTTGTTGTGCAAATTTAGTGCTTGCTATTAGCTGTTATCGTACCCATTTACTATCTATTGTAGACAGTTATATATCAGCGAGATCACCAGGAATAGAAATCGAGTGGATATAAGTCAAGCAAAATGAATTATTACTGTATTTGATAAACTGTTTCTAATCCCATCTGAAACTAAAAGGTTGACCGTATTTTTTATGAAACTTTTTACTTAATTGTTTTGATCAACTTGTCAGATGAGTAGCCCTGCTGTAATAATTTGTTGAACATTTTGGAAACCACCTTACTGTATATATTGTAATCCATACAAGTTTTGGATAATCTTAGCAACTGATCTACTACCACAACACGATCCATACCAGAGGGAAAATTATCATTCAAATTCGGATAATTCATAATGTAGAAACTAAACTAGAGCCCTGCAGGTTAAACCTAACTTAATCTATAGGTCTTGTTAGGTTTAGGTTATGAAATTCTTTATAGTTTCGGTTGTAGATTGCGGTATTGATAACCTATTTTCAACCTAGACGAAAAAAAAACGATTCTGAACGACTGTATTAAAATCAACAATACTCAACGGCTTGAATAGGGAGTGAACTTTGGGGGGAGGGATGTAAAAAATTTTCTATGTCTAGCGCACTGAAGGTTTTTTTGGGGGGGGTATAAGAGAAAATTTCTTTTTCCTGTCCCGAAAAACAAAAACAGGTTTTTAGTTCCGCTGGGAGGAAACAAAAAACTTATATTTCGGAGTGTGTGTACCTTCCCCGAATAGCCTCCAACATTCAGGCCTCCGCCAATACTTGAGTAATAAAGCGTAATCTTATTGGGTCAAATAGCTGCCACGAATAATACCAGCTATTACTCCTTGACACGAGCTGAGACTTTCCCATGCTTTCCTTAGCACTAATCGCACCAACAGTTACTTTTAGTAGTCGAACGGATGTAATTCTGAAACCGTTTAAGTGGCACTTTATCGCTCAATCGATAAAGTTCAGACTGAGATTCTCTAGTTTAAACTGAACTATTTTTAAACTGAAAAATGACACAATCAAAACAGGAAGTTCAGAGAAAAAACGTACATTTGGTAAAACTAGATGGCGAATACACAGCAATAATAGAACCTTCGTAGCGTCCAGAGCCTAAAGTGGAATTGTGGCCTACTTTTAAAAGGGCCTCCCTACTCAGTACGGTATTGTCCAAACGATGATATGAGTATAATAAGTACGTTGAGTTGATAAGAAAATAAGAGTATAAGAGAGAGACAAGACAATGCTCTTCTTAATATGTGTATATAATATAAGTTACAAACATGTAAGAACAGTGTTACTATGAGTAGGTAGAGATTGAACATCTCTTATGAGGATAGATATACTGCTCAAGATATGAGTGAGATAACTTAGGCACAAAGCTATTCAATCAACCGATTTTTGTCACCTTTTACGTTCATTGTTGAGCTACCCGCGCTTAACGGTTATTAGAGACTATTTCGACCCTGGAGAAGCCACATTCCCTTCGTCGCACAATCACGTTCGTTTTCTACACGTCAGAAATGAGGCATGTCCTTCTGTACAGAAGATATGCTCTATCAGAGCGTTTCCTCATTATCTGTTATGTCACAACTCAAACGACAAGCTTCGTTTCTGTTGAGTCTTGATAGCAGAAAAGAAAAACATAAAGCAGTGATGTCATAATGAAAATACTTAAGTGATGTTGGTAAAAACAT